AATTGCCTACGATTGGAGTCGCAGTCCAGGCATGGAAGTTCACGTTGAACTTATGGCGAGGGTAGCCAAATTGGTTGCTCCGTTCCTTACCCTAGGAGGCCAAGGGTCAGTGGTGATTTCGGAATTTCTCTGGCAGCGCGGGAAGGCTCAATTGATGGAGTTTCTTCAGGCGGCGACATGTGCCGATCAATTGGAGGTTCTCTGGAAAAGGATGGACGACGATGCTGATGAGGAAGTGGATCCTTCCACAATGGTGCTGGAGATTCTTGGACAGGAAGATGCGGTACTTGATCAAGGGAACAATGAATCCCCTATTCCCATTGAAGATGCTGGAGGTGAGATAATTGGTGACACTGGAAGGGATGGCAAAGCGCCAGAAGTTTCCCCAGAAGAGGGGACATCCAGTGGGTCGTCAAGATTGGCTGGCACAAGGATGTTCTTGTGGTCAGTGTATGCTCGCGTTACTTCCAACTGGGATTTTTCTACGCAGGACCGCACGACTGGTAAGATCTTTGACAGCACAAAGGGGTATCCTGGTGAAGGACCAGACAATGGTGATGATTTTTCCTCTAAGAGGAACTTACCCTGGATCTCTGAAGACTACCTCGACGAAGTGGTGTCAAAAAACATGGAAAGGTCTTCAGATATGGATAGGTTGGATGGGTTTGTTCCGGAAGGTGAGGGACAGTTGGAAAAGGTAGAGGTGGAGAATGTTACTGCCTCTAGAATTCTTATGGCTCTTTGGAAAAAGGGATATAGAGCTGGGTATAGGAGGTTGTGTCGTTCGAATGTATCTGGATGTAAGGTTGGAGCAATGAAACATCCAATCAAAAGGGTGCAGAAGATCGGCACTAGAAAGGCCTTCGTGAAAATGTTCAATGTTTTTGGATCGTCTCAGCGTGGCTCAGGAGCTGACGGAAAACCAATCATGAAGGTGGTAGGACCAAGGCCAGGTTTTCCAGCTGTACTCCAAGCATCAAATACTGATAGCACCTTGGGTGAAGGGAGCAGTTCTCAGGTACGTGGCAATGTTCATGTAGAGCAGAATCGCCCTATGGACCGGTACGAGGCGGAGCGCTTGGAGAAGAGGAAGAAGGGCTTCTGCTATTGGTTCAGCAGGGGAAAAGATCGCTGCAAATTTGGTGAACAATGCAAATTCATCCATTCAGAAGATGATGTGGCGCTGCATTCGTATTGGTGCAAATACTATGTGGCTGGGAGGCCCTGCTTCGCTGGAAAGGAGTGCGCGTTCTCGCATGATGCAACTGGTGTAAGGTGTATCCAGTTTGTTCAGTCTGGGAAGTGTCGTTATGGGGACAGGTGTGTCTTTGAGCATGGTGATCCGCTGGATGAACAGAGGCCAAGGTCTCCAAGGACGCCCCCAAGGGACGGTCCAAGGAGAAGTTCTGGTGCAAAAGGTGGAGAAAAGGAGATCTCTCCTGAACGGTTCGATGATGGTGAGGAGGATTTCATGGTTTACGATGATGATACCAAAATGGTGGAACTGTTGACGGAGGCGATTTCATTTATGTCCAATGGCAAGTCAGATTTGGCTCGTGCCGAGGCGGACCCGCTGTTCAAACTCCTGAAATTCAAAGGAGACACCGACCAACTGGATAGAGAATGGTGTTCGTGGACCACTGGTATGCTGTCCTTGCTGGAACTTCACGAAATAGTGAAGTCGTATGAGGTTTCGCTTGAGGAGGTGGAAGAATGGGTCAATGACCTGAGGATATGGTTCGAGCGAGCCAACGTGGGAGAAGAGAAAGATCCCAAAAGGGGCAAAAAGAGGTCCCTAGAAAGGGAGTCCAGCAAGGATATTCCTGCCGAAAAGGAGGTGGTTGAGACTTCGGAGACGGAGGTTGCCGTTGAGGAAGAGGTGAAAAAGGTCAAAAAGAAGAGGAAAACTGCAGCTATCGAGGATCCTTATACTCTCATGGTTCCAAAGCCGAAGAAGATGCCGGCGATCATTGAGAAGGGTGGATCATCATCCAATGCGGTGGTTTCTGCAGGGGAAAAAGCCTCGAAAATGCGCACAAAGTCAAGCGTCGTGGGAAAGACGAAGAAGAAGGAGAAAAGTCAAAGCCCCAAAAAGGAAGAGGTGGTAGTGGTGAAAGGTCCTGAGGAAAAGGATCGTTCCTCTGATGTGGATGCGCAAGCGTCTACCACTGTGGATGCAGAGCTGGGTCAATCTTGCCAAACGATTGAGGACGCAAAGAGAGAAGGATTGGTATCCTCAATTCAAAGGTGCGTGCAGGATCCTGTTCTTACAGTATCGGACCTAGAGTATGTTCTGCTGCGACTTCACCTCAGTATCGATACCCATCGGAAGAAGAAGTGATTGGATGGTATGGATGAAGGGATGGTTTTTCTCTTTCTGAAGACAGGTGTGCTGGATCAGCCAATGTGCTGAAAATACGGTGGTTACTATTAAGGGTATGGAAATCCCTGATAGTAGAAGTCAGTAGCTTTTCGCGTAGCGAAGACCACGGTTCGTGGTGAAGAAGACCGAAGAGTCTTCAATGACAAGAGGATCATGGTGAAAAAAGATTCTCTGTGGTTAGTGGGTTTAGCCAATGTGCTATAATTTCGTCCTGGATGACGTAAAACCATATTGTGCATTTCAAGCAGCTGGCTGCTGCCCTAATGGCAGTTTTTGGCCAAAGATCTGCACCTCCAATGTGTCCTAGGAAATCCTAGGACAGGGGGAGTGCGGAGCTGCAGTTGGTATTGTAGAAAGGAGTTGGTGTTGGAAGTTGAAGGGTCAACGTACCCGGTAATCTTCATGGCTCAAGACTGGGCCATGCGCCTGGTAGCAAAAAGAAGTTTTGAGTTCCTGTTGTTTGCTGGTTGGTTCAGGGTGAAATCTTGGGCGACTGTTGGGGTTGGTTTCCTCTCCCTTTCGGTTGCCCCCCGTATAGGGTTTAGGGTTTAGGGTTTAGGGTTTAGGGTTTAGGCAAAGCTTCTCAATTCGGGATCAGGCTGGAGGCTACGGCACAAACAATCAATGTTCTGGAGCCCTCAAGGATCTAACTGTTCAGCCAACAATGGCATGTAACATGAGTTGTCCCAAGACCCAAACGCGGAGAATACTTGGTGGAATGAAAAGGGGATCTTTGCTCCGAGAGCAAAAGCTCCCTAAACCCTCAACCCTCAACCCTAAACCCTAAACGCTAAACCCTAAACCCAAAAAACCAAAAAGCTCCCGGAACCCCAGACCATGTGGCATCGCCCTCGCCCCGGGGTCCAAGCCTTCATTGTCTTGGTGATCCTGGTCCCGCAGATCTCTGGACTTCGGGTTTAGGGTTTAGGGTTTAGGGTTTGCACTCTATGTGAACTGGATGGTGGCCTGGAGTGACGTGGAGTATGTACGCGCACCCTGACATCACGACATGCAACACAATCGGAGATGAGGGGGTGACTGCAGAGAAGCATAAATGGGGAAAGGCACAGAAGCAGACATGACATGCAAACCAGAAAACCGAACCGCGGAAGAGAACAGAAAAGCAGACATACAGAATTGCAAGGCGGCACAGAAAAGCAGAGAACGAACAAGCAGAACAGCATAGAACGGCATTGCACCAGTGGACGAGCACGAACACTGCAAAGCAGACGAGCACTGGATAACGAGAAATGAAGCCACGAACAAAAGGCAACACCGGCCTCCACATCATCGCAACATCCCAACAAAAGTGGAATTCATGCGGAGGAACTACGGGGGCGACTCTGCCACATGCAATGTGATCTGGAACTAGCAGCCAATGGCAGCCCTCAGTTGATTTGCCCACACGCCCCACGCCAACTCATGCTTCTCAAGTGGCAACAAGCACACGACAGCACAGGCAACGGAAGCTCCCCCCCCCCCACCCCCCCCGCGGAAGGTTTTTGCACAGCTGACACTGGCAAGCCAAGGCTAAAAAGAAGTGGGGGCTTTTCAGAAGGGTCTTCCGATCTTCCCCAGCATGCCCAAGAGACGTCCAATCTCACCTGGTAGTTCTTAAGGTTTCGACAGTTGCCTGCTGCTCTCCAGCATCTTCTTCCTCGACCCTTCACCCTTCGGTTTAGGGTTTGGGGTTTGGGTTTAGGGTTTGAGGTTTCGGGTTTAGGGTCTAGGGTGGTGCGTGGCTTGAAAGCGTTGATAGAACTCCTCAGGGAACTCTTCGCCTTCCGCCCAGCCCGGCCTTGTTTGCTTCGGCCTCCAGAACCAGCATCTTGACGCAGTCCAGCAGACTGTCCCGATGCTTCTTCTTTGCTTGGAGTACTGCACAGTGGAGTGCTGTCCTGCCTGGGCAGGAGCGTGCTCACAAGTGCGGCACACTATATGTCAGTACTTGCTGCCTCCGGAGATCAAACGTACCATAACTCTACACTTTCAAACCCCTGACCCTAAACCCGAAAAACACCTTAACCCTAAATCCTACAAACCCTAAACCTTTCAAACCCATGCAAACTGTTTCAAACCCCAAACCCCAAGTTCACCAACAGGCCGGCTTTTGCCCCCTCCGTTGCCCTCCCACGATCCCAACGGCGCCTTCTTTGTTGGGCAGATCCTGGCCACGGGGTTCGAGGGGTTTGAAGGAGGGGGAGCTTTTGGGGGCGTTTGGGGGGCGGGGGACTTCAGCCCGTAGGGTTTTTGAGGGGAACTTCCGGGTTTGGGGTTTAGGGGTTTAAGGGTTTAGGGGTTTAGGGGTTTAGGGGTTTAGGGGTTTAGGGGTTTAGGGGTTTAAGGGTTTAGGGGTTTAGGGGTTTAGGGAACTTTCGGGTTTCGGGTTTAGGGGGAACTTTCGGGGATTAGGGCGGTTGTACCTACGACCTCGCAAGGATACGCAGACTGCACTACTAATTCCTGTTGAGCTGACTTTGAACCATGCCGTTGCAACTCGCTCAAGAGTAAGAATCAGGAGATGGGCCGGCAAAAATTCCAAGCCCGCAAAATGCCAAACGCCTACCACCAGTAAGCCAACCAAGACAATCAAACCTTCAACCCCGAACCCTACATCCTAAACCTCGTTGCTCATTGAGACGACGGCCGAAGTCTGGATACCTGCAGCCGTCCCTGCCTGGCTCACACCAAAGTCGATGAGTCTCCGCATTTTGTGCGAGTCCGCGTCGTTCATGGCCTGATGTAGACTCGTACTGCCTCGGCGTCGCAAAACGCAGACACACACTGGAAGCGTTCAAAACTTCAAAGATGCAGGCTTGCTCCCGTGCTTCAGAACGTCATGCTCAGGTTTAGGGTTTAGGGTTTAGGGTTTAGGGTTTAGGGTTTAGGGTTTAGGGTTTTTGGTTTAGGGTTTAGGGATTGGGGCTTTTCGGGTTTGTAGGGGTTTTTGGGTTTATAGGGTTTAGGGTTTAGGGCAGCTGAGGTCTGCGCCTTCATCGTCCAGCTGCTCCAAGGCGTTCTTTGCCAAGGCCCGCTTGGCGCCCGAGTCCAAGAGGGCTTTCTGGCAGTCTTCCTAGGTGTCGACTTGAACAGTGGCTTAGGGTTTAGGGTTCAAGGGTTTAGGGTTTAGGGATTTATAACTCGGGCTCCATATTAAACAATAAGGGGATATTTTCAAAATTCTCCCACATCGATACCGAGTTTCCGTTCCGGCCAGCACGGCATCAGCAAGAGGTGTCCGGCCTCTGCTGGGGGGGACTCTTGGCATCATTGAGTTCGTTCTTTGGCAATCAATCAGCTGTAGTGTCCTCTTGGTGTTGAAAAAGAAGCCCTCACCCACAGCAAGCAAAAAACAACTGCCATTGGTTTGCCCCCGGCCAAGGCTCTGGCCGCTGTTGTCTTTCACATCCTGGCAGCTTGGGAAGGGATTAAGAGCCCTCTCTGCCTTGCAAAAATGGTTCTGCCTCTTATTGGGTGACCCTCTGCGTGTCAGCCCAATGCTCTTCACGGTACAGGAACAGGGAAGGTGGTCCCCCCCCCCCCACCTTCTCCCACTGCCCCGTGGGCGCTGGCGAAGATATAACCCCCGCCATGATGCGGAGGGAGCATCCCCTCGGTTCACCCGTTTTCTTCCCTTCCGCCCGACAAGTGGGGCTCCGGTGGATTGCTCCCCACCTCTTTACTCAATCTTACTACAAAGGTTGGCCGGGGATCATGCACAGGTCAAGAGGGCCCCTGCCTTGCTCGCGCCCTTCTTCAGCAGCAAGCTCAGGGACTCGAGGTGGCCCTTCTCGGCCGTAAGGTGGAGCGCGGTCCTGCCTCGGGGCCGGAAGTCGTCAGCAAGGCCCACAGCTACCTTGACTTCAAAACTTCGAAGGAGCTTTGTCAGGCAAGACCTGTAGAGGTGGAGAACGGCCACAGCCCTTGAAACCTGGTGACCAGTGGCCCCATGCCTCAAAACGAAAATGGCATGAGGCCACGAAGTCAAACCGTCACACACGCACACGCGGACAAACACACACGCACACGCGGACAAACACACACACACACACACACAGACGCGCACACACACACACACACACAAACACATACACACCCACACACACACACAGACACAGACATATCACGCGCTGCAAACTTCTGACTAGATGCGCTCTCGGGGAAAGGATTTCCTGCTCTTCCCAAAAAACTGACCTCAGGAAGTCGCACCCAGTTCGAGAGGCTGCCTGAGGCCTCGGCCTTCTTCGTCTTGTGCATCCTGGCGCCAGCGGAGCGGAAGCTTGGAGAGGCACGAGACATGCCGGTCCGAGCGTGGTTTAAGGGCTTCAGGCCGGTCAAGACTTAAAGTCTGCTCGCACGGATCCCTAAACCCTAAACCCTAAACCCTAAACCCTAAACCCTAAACCCTAAACCCTAAACCCTAAACCTAAACCCTAAACCCTAAACCCTAAACCCTAAACCCTCAACCCTGAACCCTGAACCCTGAACCCTGAACCCTGAACCCTAAACCCTAAACCCTAACCCTAAACAACCCTAAACCCTAAACCCCCCCCCCCGCCCCCGCCTTGTTCAATCCAGCCTTGAGGAGCACCTCCAAACACCCCACGCAGTTGTTCGTAGCTGCGAGATGGACATAGCCTCCTCGGGGCGAAGGCCGGAAACCTCCTAAACCTTTTAGGGTTTAGGGTTTAGGGTTTAGGGTGTAGGGTTTAGGGTTTAGGGTTTAGGGTTTAGGGTTTAGGGTTTAGGGTTTAGGGTTTAGGGTTTAGGGTTTAGGGTTTAGGGTTTAGGGTTTAGGGATATTCGTATATTGCATATTGTCATATGACTAAGTTTTCGAAGCTGTTATATTCTTATTTTGTCATGTTTCTAAATGATGATTTTGCACTATTCTAGTAAAGATATAAAAAAAAAAAAACCTCCCTATATGAATCTGTGACTATATATTAGTATTAAAGCATACTGACATATCATATCTTAGTCTATATATATATATACATTTATTTATTTAGTTAGTTATTTATTCATTTATTTATTTCTTTATCTATTAACATATATACATATATTTCGAAATTCTTCTACTCTTACATGGGGGGGTTCGGAAATAGGGGACCCCAAAAAAAACAGTAGCGAGCATCCCCTCGTAATAAGGACCCCGATAAGGTAGCCCTCATTCGGAAACCCTAAACCCTAAACCCTAAAAACCCTAAACCCTAAACTTCTATTACTCTACTATTATATCCTTGTGCTATCTGAAACTGCATCAAAACTTTGCGTCCCATCCACGGGTCAAGCCCCCCCCCCCCCCCCTGTTCCTACCGCCAAAAGCGATGCTATGCGAGCCAGGGTTTAGGGTTCGGGTTTAGGGTTTAGGGTTTCGGGTTGCGGGTTTAGAGTCTAGGGTTGAGGGTTTAGTTTAGGGTTAAGGGTTTAGGGAGCTATGTGGGATTGGCACACGTTGCTGTGTCCCCCAAAAGAGAGGAACTAGCATAGGGCCGGTTTTTTGATTGCAGGCACCCCAATCTGGGACCCATAGAAAACTGTCACTGAACCAATTCCGTGAGAAAACCCAGTCAGCTCGACGCTAAACCCTAAACCCTAAACCCTAAACTCTAAACCCTAAACCCTAAACCCTAAACCCTAAACCCTAAGCCCTAAGCCCTAAACCCTAAACCCTAAACCCTAAACCCTAAACCCTAAACCCTAAACCCCAAACCCCAAACCCCAAACCCCAAACCCCAAACCCTAAACCCCAAACCCTAAACCCATCCCTCCCCCCCCAACCCGAGGCCCGGGCTTTCTTCGTCTTCCTCACAGAAAGCCCAGGGTTGGGGAATGCAACCGGAAAACTCGGCTATACCCCCCCCCCCTAAGATACAGATTGCAGCCTGGGGTTTGGGGTTTAAGGTTTAGGGTTTAGGGTTTAGGGTTTACGGGTTTACGGGATTACGGGAGGAAACCCAAATTGGGGACGATAGTTCTGACGCAAAAAACCCAGCCGGAAGCAAGACTTCGCTTGGAACCCTGAACCTGAAGCTGGCGCAGCCAGAAGTGGCCAGGCTCCGTCAATTCTGTTGTAGCTGTCATGTGGGGGGTTTACGAAGTTCAGGGGGCCTTGTGAGGGTCCTCTTTATAAGGGGATCCAACTATTTGGGGGGGTCTATGTTAAACCCTAAACCCTAAACCCTAAACCCTAAACCCTAAACCCTAAACCCTAAACCCTAAACCCTAAACCCTAAACCCTATAAACCCTAAACCCTAAACCCTATAAACCCTAAACCCTAAACCCTAAACCCTAAACCCTATAAACCCTAAACCCTAAACCCAGGTCACATGATGGAGTCAGGGCACGGCGGTCACAGGCAATCGAAGCTTCAACTCCCATACTGCAGGGGCCCTAATGATTTGACTAGGGTTTTGGGGGTATTATGGATTATTATGGTAGATATATAAACTCCTAGACTTATACTGCAGGGGCCCCAATAGTTTGAATAGGGTTTTGGGGGGGTATTATGGTAGATATAGATATAGATATATATATATATATTTGTTTATTTATTTAGTTTATTTATTTATATTTATAAATAAAGGGACCATACGAGAATACTACTACTAATTCTTCCGACCCCCCTATATAACTCTGCTTCGCTTCCCCCGTCCGACACCGTCGACAGGGGCTCCTTGTTCACACCAAACGCGATGAGTCTCTCCACTTTGCCCGCATCCGCCGCAAGCACCGCCTCATGCAGGCTCGTATGGCCTCGGTTGACACCCCTAAACCCTAAACCCTAAACCTTAAATAACCCTAAACCCGAAACCCTAAACCCTGTCAAGCTCATCGTGGTGAACAACGCAACGGTGAGAACCCAAAGCTGCAAACCATTTCCGGAGAATGAAACAAAGTGCCGTCGCTATCCTACTATTTGCTTAAGAACCCCAAAATAAATACATATTCAGCCTCACAAGGGTAATATAGGGATGCTTGTTCTATATTCTTTTGGGGCGTCTGAAGCAAGCAGTAGTATCCTGAGGTCCGGGCCGTCCTCATCCTTTTGATTTAAGGCAGCCAAAGCCATGTCCTTCTGCGCGCCGCTTTTCTCAAGGCTCTGCTGGCAGAGCTTCTGCCCGGCCAGCACCGCTTCTGCGAGAGGAGTCCGGCCTCACGTACCGAGGCTGTTGCCTCCTGGGACTCATTCGGCTTAGGGTCTGCGCCACTACTTGTAAAGAAAGCCCTATGATAGGGTATTGCCAGGGGATTCGGGGGTGTCAGGGATTCGGAGAATTCTGAGACCAACAGAAAGTCAAGAATGCACGCATCAAGGCACGCAACATTCTACATGAACATCATTTGCATCCTGGTTGCCTTCTGGTCTGTCTTCTTGCGATGCCAACTACTGACCGTGCCCGTACACTGAGGCGTTGGCCGATCTCGTCTTTAACGTCCTGACGGGGATGGGTTCGGAGCAGGACACATGGAGGGGAGCCAGGAATCACGGCGAAGCCTAACCGCGCTCACGGACGAATAAGGGGCCTTGGCTTCTGCTGTGGGTTTACAAATCGCAGATGCAGGATTCCAGAGCGGACTATGACCAAGGCATTGAGAGCTGGCGTGTAGCTTGCGAGCATTTTGGGATAGATTTCAGCACACCTATGCATATCTGACATATCTGCTACAAAAGAAGCCACGATTCGGGCTGCCTATCAATTGCTTTAGCTGCTCTAACCGGTGCACGTCCCGCACGGTGAGAGAGAGAGAGAGAGAGAGAGCAAGGATTACGAGACCAGAGCAGCACGAGGATCCGGATCCAACATTCAAAATGGCAAAACAGAACGGTACCTTTTCATCGAGCGTCGCGCGGGGGGGTTCATTTGCACATGTCCTTCCGTACCCCTGCGCCTTGCCTTCTTTGCGCCCTTCTTCAGCAACAAGTCCAAGCACGCTCGCTGCCCGTTCTCGGCCGTCAAGTGGAGCGCGGTCCTGCCTTGGGCTGGGAAGCTCTACCCGTCTCCATGGGGAACGGGAAGCGTGGCCCAGGCAGCCAAGAATTACTTTGCGCGATTTTTTAAAGCACAAACACACACACACACACACACACACACAGAGTTTGCAGTTTGCTGCTTCCTGAAACATTTCCCTGGAGTCCTGGCCACAAGGGGCCCCAAAACGGCGCGCCCAATGGAGTACGAAGCCCGAAACACCCTAAATTCAATACAAAGTAAATAGCCAACATAGCTCAAAAAAGTTAACATTTTCAATATAAAAGAGAATAGTTGGTACAGCTGGTAGAATTAGGATACACCCTTAAACCCTAATCACACCCAAAAGACTCGATATTATTGACCCAGCCACCGTGTGATGCGCAGCTGAGGCCCGGGCCATGCTTGTCTTGCGTATCCTGCAGCCAGAAAGGGCCAAAGGAGGGTTTAGGGCTTAGGGTTTAGGGTTTAGGGTCTAGGGTTTAGGGTCTAGGGTTTAGGGTTTAAGGTTTAGGATTGTTTAGGATTTAGGATTTAGGGCTTAGGGTTTAGGGTTGAGGGTTGAGGGTTGAGGGGAGTACACGACTAGACCCAAGAGTAACCTAGGAATCACAAGGGCACCCTTCTTGGAAGGGAACCGACCCTAGCCCTAAAAAAAGGGAATAAGGGCCTACGCTGGGTCCTAGAAGAGAGGATTCCAGGATTTGTGGAACCGGGAAATTTGATGGAGTTCTGGATGTGTTGGGGCGTCTTTTTTCATGTTTTCCCCCAAAAAAATGCCTTCCGCACTGGCGCGGGCGGAATTTCACGGAGGGTGCCACCCTTTTTTTTTTTGGGGGGGGGGGGGGGGGGGGGACCAGGCAAAAGTAATCTTTCGGACACGTTTCGGGGTACCATGATGCCATTTGTTTCCTGCGCTGCCCTGAAGAAGGGACAAGCAATTTGCGTTTGCTGCGGTTAATGGTCAACAATACCCCATGGCACCGGCCAACCTGTGATGATGGCGTTTTCAAGGGCACACAGCAACCAGCATCACTTCAAGTGAAATGCAAACTCGCTGCGAAGCCTACAACTGAAACCACCTTGACAAGTTGAACAGCCCATGGCATGATCCAGCACCTACTGCAATTATAGATTCTTTTGAAGTCCCTCAAAGTGTAGTCCCTAAACCCTAAACCCTAAACCCTAAAACCTAAACCCTAAACCCTAACCCCAGAGCCCTGAACCCTGAACCCTAATAGGTGGGATGTACATAGTTCCCTTTCGGATCCATTGGGGGCTCTGCTTGGCGTTCCTTGTCTGCCCCTTTCTCCAGCAAGGCCGAACCCTAAACCCTAAACCCTAAACCCTAAACCCTAGACCCCAAACGGGGCTCCCCGGGGTTCCTTGTCTGCCCCTTTCTCCAGCAAGACCTCCAGGCACGGCAGGTTGCCTTTCTCTGCTGCGTAGTGGAGGGCCGTGCGACCTAAGGAGCCAGAAGAGGGTTTAGGGTTTAGGGTTTAAGGTTTAGGGTTCAGGGTTCAGGGTTCAGGGTTCAGGGTTCAGGGCGCAGGGTTCAGGGTTTAGGGTTCAGGGTTCAGGGTTCAGGGTTTAGGGTTTAGGGTTTAGGGTTTAGGGTTTCGGGTTTGGGGTTCAGGGTTCAGGGTTCAGGGTTTAGGGTTTAGGGTTTAGGGTTTAGGGTTTAGGGTTTAGGGTTTCCGGTTTAGGGACAGCATGTCACGGAACCACAGAGCATTTTCATCGACTTGGACACGTTTGGGTCTTGGGCTCAGGGGTTGAGAGCCTCGAGCCCAACATCTCGTCCGATTCATCCTATTAACGCCTCATCCAACTCCAGAGAACAAAAACCCAGAGGTCTGCAGATGACTCGATGACCTGAGACCCCAGACCGTGGTCGTCTAATTCCATGTCCTGGCAGATTGCTTGGGGATAATTTGAGGTTCTATGAACCCCTGAACCCTAAACCCTAAAACCCTGAAAGGGCTTGCGGTTTGGGGCCTTCAGGGTGCTAAGGCTTTGCGGTCCAGGGGGTGACCCAGGGATGGTTTGGGGGGGGGGTGGGGGGGGGGGGGGGGGGGGATTCAGGGTTTAGAGTTTCTCAGAGCATGAACCTAACCCTAAACCCCAAGGATGATAGCAGCTTCGCGTTTTTTCCAGATGTTTCCAGAGCGTGTCTGGCCATTGCACCTCCCACTGAAGTCAAAATGGCGCGACCCCAACACCCCAAAATCCTCAACCACCCGAAGCACTCAACCTGGACCCAAGAGTAACCTAGGAATAAAAAGGGCGCCCTTCTTGGTTTTAAATGGGCTTATAAGCGGAACCCGAACCCCCAAAAGATGGGAGTAAGGGCCTCTTTTACTGGCAGAACGTGACGCCACCCCTGAACTACATCGTAGCGGGCTGTGCAATTGAAGGCCCTGGACTGCAGATGGAAAGAAGTGCGCAGTGAAGGAAAGG